TATGAATGTGTTTGTATGTATACATTTATGTGTGTGAGTGTTGGTGTGTGAGTCTATTTACGTGTGTCTATATTACATGTGAGCCTGTATGAATACATGGGTGTGTTTGTGTGTGTGTGTGTGTGTGTGTGTGTGTGTGTGTGTATGTGTGTGTGTGTGTTTGTGTGTGTGTGTGTGCTCAGCTCCATTAAAGATAAATGCTTGAGAATCTGGAATCAGAAGCTCTCTAAAACTGATACATATCAAGATTGAGATTTCAGCATCTGTACGTTATATACCTTGACCTTCTCTCCTCCCTCATTGGCTGGCGGTTGTCTTGGTTTGTTGTGGCTTATCAGAACAATATAATGGGAGACATCATGGCGCGCTCTTCAAAATAATGAAACCCCAAGCAAGCATTAAGATGATACCAATGACTTTATATGCCCAAACATTGACGAGCACCAGTTTCCACCGCGTTGCGACATGTGTCAAGTAGGGTAGCTGGGTTCCATTCCAGTTTCGACTTTCGAGATATATATTTTTTTTTTTTTTTTGCCTTAGCTGTCAAGTCTGTGGAAAATGCTTCGCTCGGAGCCCGAAATCAATACAGAAAGTGTCATCGCTAGTCTAGTGGTTAGGCTAACAAACTTATAATCGTGCAGTCGTGGTTTCGGGGGTTCGTGCCTCGATCAGACCCGACGTTGTGTCCTTGGGAATGGCACTTTACATGAATTTTCCTCACTTCGCACAGGTGGTAATGGCTAAAGACAGCTAAAGATCTTGTCAGTATGTTTGTGTGTCAGTGCCTATAAAATAGCAGCTTGCACTACTATGCATCCCAGAAAATTGAAATTGTTTCAGAATGCTATCAAGTCTGCTGGGTTAATAATATAGATTGTAAAGCGCACAGAGCTTGCTTTCTTTTACTATTTCTCTTAGTCTTTCGTGTAATCCTTTTTCTTCCTTTCTTTCTTTCTTTCTTTCTTTCTTTCTTTCTTTCTCTGTGGGAATTTGCGCAATACAAATGCTAGCCTATCTATTAATATCATTATTTACTCCCGTGTTTAGGTGAATTTCAGTTTCATTGTGTACAACTCCCGTTTTCACTACTGAAATTGGAGCATTCAAATGGATTTACATCAAAACCGGAAAATAGGAATTCGTACATCAAAGCACTAAGAGAGTGTGAAATAGGAAAACGAACCTGGGGGAATAGGTGAAGCAATGTTTTAAAAACAAAAATCAAAATGTACAAAGAAAAGGAAAAGCATGTGTTGGTAGACACCTTCACAACACTCAACCACAGGCCTTCAGGAAAAGGGGCTTTTAGATGGGGGAGGGAGAGAGGGGATTTACTTTGAAGACAGGCCATTTTATTTTACAACTGACAATGCCAGACTTCCGAGGAGAGGTAGCATCCTGTTTCTACTTGCACTTGACCTCTCGAGTCCAGCTTTGACCACTGTGTTTACAAGATTGGTTTGAGAAATCTCGGGACATCTTCTGAGCTCCAGCAATCAATAGCAACAGACCGGTGAAGCCCCAGGGAATTCAAGATCTGGGGACTACAGGAAATGCATGTGTCGTGAGAGGGGATTTCTGACTTATTGTTGGCGGCTGGCTGGATGTGGCACGGAGAGAAGGAGAGATAGAGGGGGGGGG